CAATTGTAAGGGCAAAAAAGGGAAGGAGTGGCTCTTTCAGACAAACAGAAACCCATTTCACTGGTTTCTGAGGAATGCTGACTTTCAGCTTTTGTTTCTCTGCCATCAGTCCTTCTATTTACCCAGTCAGAGTTTAGTCTGAGCTGAACCCACGCTGTAATTTAGACATTGCCAATGGCTCTGCCATTTTGTGCCCACTTTGTAAGCAGAAGATACCCTAGTCTCAACACAAAGCATTAATACAAAGGAGGGAAATTTTTAGTTTCACCTGAGCATTATTTAAATTGTGCATGCTACCTGACTCTCATATTTTAAGAAAATGTCAGGAGCCCCTACTTTAACAGAAGCGTAACAGGAAATAAGAATTTGTCCACATTCCTTCACTGTTCACCTTTAGTTTTAATGTTTGAATATGTATGTAAATATTTTGTACTATTGCTACCTTAAACTCATGTAATTCTAGTGCTTCCATAATCCAGTAAGATGAATAAGATTTAATTATGCCTACTAGGTAAATGTTATAAAGGTATCAGATTAACTTAGCTAAGGTCATATGGACCATGAGTGGCAGAGGAAAAGAAAATACAGGTCTCATGCGTTCCTCCTTTCACTCCAACACCAAATATGACATTACCACCTATCTTCTTGTGAGACAGCAAATGAATTTCAGGAATTGGGGAGGGCTATCAAGGTGTGTGTGCGTGTGCATGTATGTGTGTGTTCTGTGTGTTCTGCTGATGGGTCAAAACAATGTCCAGTCAGTAAATGTTTGCTGCACAAGCCTGAGGCTCTGGATTCAAACCCCCACAACACATATGGGAAAAAAAATAGCCTGGAAGTTAAGGCCCGACCCAATCCCAAGACAAGGTGGACAACACACACTGGAATAGATGGATAAACAAAAAAGATGACAGAAATCTCAAAGATGGATAGGAAAGAGGGAATGGGAGAGTGGAAAGGGGGATATGGTAGGGAGAATGCACATGTTCAAAATACATTAAATGAAATTTTCAAAGAATTAATAAAAATAGTGGGGTGTTTGTTTTGTTTTGTATATTTTGTTTAAAACCCAGTGTGGTAGCAAGTACTTATAATCCCAGCATTGGAGAAGCAAAGACAAGCAAGTTCCTGGGGCTTCCTGGCCAGGCAGCGTAGCCCATTTGATGAGATACAGCCTAAAAAGAGAATCTGCCTCCAGTAAAAAATAGGTGGACATGCAGTAGGATCAAAACCCAGTGCCATTGTCCTTGGCTTCTCAGCAGCCCTCATTGTCCACCATATTCAGAGAGTCCGGTTTTTTCCCACCTAGCCTGTTTGGATGCTCACCTTCCTAGACCTGGATGGAGGGGGGGGGAGGACCTTGGACTGTCCATAGGGCAGGGAACCCTGACTGCTCTTCGGACTGGAGAGGGAGGGGGAGGGGAGTGGGGACTGGGGAGTGGGGGAGGGGGAGGGAAAAGGGAGGCAGGGAGGAGACGGAAATTTTTAATTAAAAAAAAATTTAATAAAAAAAAAAACAAGTACATAAGCAAAAAAAAAAAAAAAAATAGGTGGACAGCTCCTAAGGAATGATACTTGAGTTTGTCACAACCATGCACACAAGAACAATGTTCAAACACATACACACATACACAACTCAAATGACCTACTAATAGTACGGCCTTTTACTAGAAATTTGGCCAGTGATCCCAAAGTATGAAACTCTCAAAACTAGGATAGTTTAACTTCACCCCTAGCTGCAAACTGAAAAATAATAAGATCCCATTTCCTACAAGGGCAAACACACGTGACACAGTTGAATTTATAGCACCCTAACAAGAAAACTAGTTATCATGTAACCTTGAAACACTCAAGGGCAAATCTGGGTTTTATTATTAATAGACTTGGGATTCTGAGCCCAATAAAGTGAATCAAATAAAATATAGTCTAATGTCATAACATTCATAACAGATTTTAAAATGTTTCTTACATTTTCAAATTATCCGTTCTATCTAAAGAAAGAATGTCTTCCATCCAACCCTTTATTTATACCTGGTGGCTTCATCGGACATATTCTTCGTAGATTTATTCTACCTGTGAACTGCCACAAGACTCCTTGCCTGTCACAGTCAAACAGAAAATTACCTAAGCTTGTCTTCCTACTGACCTTAGGCTTCTAAGAACAAATTTCTGAAGAAATTGACTAGTATTTGATAAACTGTCACAAGTATTGTGGGCTTGCTGGCACACTTTTCAAAAGAAATATATTCTTGGAAATACGTGTGTCAGGTTCCAAAGAAACTGGAGACAAATCTCACTTAGTGCCTGTAGCTCCTCCCAGGACTTCTCACCCAGCCTCCTCCCAGGGGCTGTGTAGCTTCCCTCCCCCCAGTTTCTCTTTCCTATATAACCTCAGGCATTTTAGCCATGAGTACTCTTGGTTCTTCTCTCTTGGTCTCTTGGCACCTAGCTAGCTTGATCTTGGCCTCTTTGCCCTCTTGGCTCTCTCTCTCTCTCTCTCTCTCTTCCTCTGTCTCTGTTTGTCTCTCTCTGTCTTTTTCTCTCTCCCTGCCCTCCTATGGCCCTGGCAATCGGGACCCTTCCAGAAGCCTATGACTGAACTCTTTCTCATATCTACAATAAAACTCTTCTCGTCAACCATACCTAGGATGGGTCATGTGCCCATATTCACTCGGCCTCTACTTTGTTTTCTATCTTGTCATCTTATAGGTATATCTGACTAGCACAGTATTTTAGATGGAACAAGAGTATGATCTTTATATAAAAAGTGCACCTATTATACACTGGATAATAACAAAGTTACTCATGTTAGGAAAGAAAAGAAATGGAATCAACTTGATGAGTAAAGTCCAGCCAGATGTGAACAGAGCCTCATGGGCTGGAAGGTTTGACAATAGTAAAATCAGAAAAGTTCATAACTATCCCAAGAAATCATTTCAATACAGTAAAGTAATCTTCATCAATATTTTAGTTTATTAACAGCATCTGTCTCTATATTTTATTTATTTGCTCATTTGTTTGTTTTTGAGACAGGCACAGGGTTTCTCCATGTAGCCTTGACTGACCTGGAACTTACCATGTAGACCAAACTGTCTCTGTATTTTAAATGAATTAGGTAAATTCAAATTTACCTAAAGCAAATTAGGTAAATAAAAGTTTCAACTACTTTATTAAAAGGTGAAAGACCACTAATGATTTTAGAAGGCATTTCTCAATACAGACTCTTATGAAGAAACATGCAAATAGCATTCACATGTTTAGTTACTCCATTGTGGACAGAGTTTAAAACATGCATTGAAAGTAAAGATGAAAGGACTAAAGGGTTTACTGTGTGACACACTGGACTACAGCTTCCGCAAAGAGATTCCGCTCCTGTTTTTGTTTGTTTGTTTGTTTGGATAGATGGGTGGTTAATTGATTGGTTGGTTGGTTTTTGTTTTGTTCTGTTTTGGTTTTGTTGCTGTTGTTTGCTTTGTGTGGTTTTTTGGATTTTCTTTTAGATTTTGTTTTGTTTTGGGAGGGAGGTTGCAAGGGAGGAGGGGGGATTTGGTGGGGCTATGGAGATGGGTGGGGATCAGGATACATGATGTGACATCCACAAAGAATCAACAAAAGTTTGAAGAATAAAAAATGTGTTAAAATCTAAATTCAAACTAAAATAATTTTTTAAAATATTTTTAGGAACTGAGGCTGTAATTTAGTTGGTACAGTGCTTATCTAGTACACTCAAAGCCCTGGGTGAAAGCCACAGTGCTACTTGAGTCAGGTTGGTGACCCATGCCCCTAATATAAGCATTCAGGAGGTGGAAACAGAAGACCAGCACTTCAAGGTCGGTCATCCTCAGCTGCACAAGCTGGAGATCAGCCTAGAGATCAGCCTGGACTACATGACATCCTATTTTTAAAAAAAGTATTTAAACACATGTATCTTGTTTTATCTTGAAAGTAGACTTTTTAATTTACTTACAAGTTAGTGATGCTATTATTTCAACAAATAGGGAGCTTCCCACAGTGCATCACTGTCCCCACACCCCATCTTTGCAAACTCAAAGCATACATGTTAAGTGCTCAGTATGCACAAGGTAGCTAGCTCTGTCTGTCAACAATTCACTCATTCTTAACCAAGCTCACAACATTCAGGGAAACCCAGACATCTCATGTATTCATTTTCCTGCGGATTATGGACCAGAGCATTTGTGCTGATTCAACATCCCACCAAATACAAATCTACCTACGTATTGGGAACTTTACTTATGTATTTACCGACTTTTGTTGTCATCGTCCCTAAAATTTTCTTTTTATTGTTTTTACTGTTACTGTTTTCCCGTCCAAATGGACACTGAACTGCCCGGAGACAAGAAACAGGTGTTTTTACTTTTCTGCCCTGTTACGTTTGTTGAGTAAATGAATTCTGTGAGCCCTGAAGCAACTTGGCACACTATCAATCACAAAAGCCATGAAAATACAAACGTGAGCAGAAAACACTGCATAAAATCCAACTCTTACTTAGGTTTCAATGACTCAGAATTGCTGAAAATTAATGAAACCACAAGCCTTTATAGGGTTGCCCAATTACAAATCAGTTGATCATGAGATGCGGTCACTAAAGTGTCCCTTCCAAATAAATCTCCACTTAGAGTAAAGACAGCTAGGACAGAGATACGTGGGGAAAAAAATCTATCTTATTTCATTATTTCATCTGATCTCTAATATAACCCCAAAACCTGTTGCATCAAATACAATAAACATTTAGAGCCTATTTGAAATCATAGGCTTGTAAACTGGTTTGGTCTGTGGGTTTTGTTTGAATTTTGAAGCACTGTGTCCTGTAGCCAAATGATATTAAACTCTTAGTCACCCTGCCTCCACCTCTCAAGTGTTGGAATGAAAAGTATGCATTACCACACCCCACTGATCCAAAGATTTAACTGTCTTAATGGAAGAACTCTGGGCAAGAAGCTCGATTTCAAATTTAAACAAATACTCTTTTCTCTTTATCTAATACTTCTGTTCATACACATCGTCACAAATCCCAAAGAAGCCGAAGGCACCACAATGACTTGAGATCTGCACACCAAACACCTTCCTACCATGAAATCAAGCAAGAAGCTTAAAAATCAGTAACTATCAAACACTTCACAGAAATGCTGTTTCGACAAAAAAAAAAAATGAAGATTATTTTTATTTACATGTGGCAAGAATTGACATTAATCTTTTGTAAAGTTTTCATTGTGCTTTAAACTGCTTCTCGTTCGTAAATACAGGAAGTTAAAATACTCGAAGGGATTCTGTTTCCCAGTCCTCAATTTAAAACATTTGCTATCTACAACATCCACTTTCAGCTTTGACATGGGAGAGATGCTCCTATTACAGGACTAGAGTGCTGTTTAAAAGGCATTTACAGTTCACTGAACTGTAGTATCTACAATATACAAGACTTGGCATATACTTAAATTATTGAAAATAAAGGACAGGGTGTGTTAGTCTTCTTCATGGCGCTTTCAGGCAGACATCAGAATCACTTCTCCCTAAAGAAAAAGATTAGAAAAAGTCAAGCAAAATTAGTACAGTATTAAAATGATAGTTTAACTCAAATTTGTAATATGTAACCCAATGCTATGCCTCAAGCAGCTATTATTTAAAATGCCACCATAAAGAATAGATCATTGGACAGGAAGGAAAGTTACATGCTTTCTAAACTGGAGTTCCATTTACATTTCTATGTCAAAGGGTAACTATTAGTCAATTTAAATCACATTTGAGTCTATTTATCAATTTATGTCTGAGCCTGGTTCCCAAATTATAAAAACTCATTTTATCATAAATACTAATTGGATCAATCAAAACACACCTTCTCACTCAAAACAGAGTACTAACCTGTTCTCATAAAAGAAAAACAGACAGAGTCATCAATTGGCTAGTATTCATTCTTTAGCTCAATCCGTTCACTAATAATAGCTTTGCTCAAGAGAATTGTGAATGTCAGTAAAACAACCAAGAGTGCTAATTTGATTTCCTTTGCTACTATAAAATGTCATTCATTCAAACACCATCAGTTCAGAAATCAGAATCACAGGAATTAGGTTACCATTTGCCTTTCTGTGCCAGAAGGGCAAAGGAGGGTTTTTATTAAGCAATAGGGAACATACAGCCCAGGTACTCACTGAACTATCCCATCTTTCAAATCATATGTGCATAGATTACTGAAGTAAAATGGTACTTACTATCTACAAAAAGGACTAGGAAAAATAAGATAGAAATAAAGAGATTAAAATATCTTGACTTCATAGACTTTCTATAGTTTTACAATTTTATTAAAAGTGTGTATTAGAGCATATTACGGCCCCTTTGCATAGCTACCTCTCACCTGATTTGCTGGCTACAACTACTTCCTTGTTGAATTTTGCTTATGAGTCCTCCTGCTTGTTATGTGGTTATGAATAGGTTGATCCCAACTCTAAACTTCCCAACTGTTTCAAAACTGAGCAGGAAGCCACACTTGCGGTACCTTGTGTACTCCTCACTGAGGACTTCTCAACTGGATACTGCAGCGGTATTACAATGCCTTGATCTGGCTTCTGAAATGCTGAAATGAGATTTTTTATTTTCCGGAAAAATCTTTTATGCACCCCAGGTGCTGTCTGGAAAAGAAAAGACCAAAACACATTATTTATTTGCCTCATAATGCTTAAAAAAAGACACATAAGAAGTGAGAGGGATGCTTAGAGAGGTAACATTTGTGTAACTTGCTCCAATATTTGAAAACATAAGGAAGAAAAGAAAACAACAGCCAGAAGAGCTTGCTTTGCTTGGCTGAATTTCCCTGCAAGAGGAGCTAATGAGCTGTCATTGCAGTTCTCCCAAGGGTAGGACTAGTTTGTACAAGCTCTCACAGCCCTGCCCTTGCTGACTGCTACCCATCAGACATCCCGAACCTCTAAGGGTGCACAGGCCATTACCCACAATGAATTCAGCAACAGAGGGGATGCAGTTAAACATAAAAAAAAAGCACAGATCCTACAGGTCATTAATAAAAAGCCTGAGGAACCAAACCAACAACCCGTCCCCATGCCATCATTTTCCAACAGAAAATACTACTCAGAAAATTAAAAAGTGAGTGCTATGATACATACAGCTGCATGGCTAGCTAATGCTCATGTGCTTTTACCTCGTAACACACACTGACTCATCCTTCATGTTAATTTTGTGTTCTTTTCCCAGATTGCTCACAATCAGCACTGTACCATTCCAAGGCTTTCTATATGACACGAAAATGAAAGACTGTAGAAGGTTCTCTTTATTTATATATTTGTTAGTTTTTAAAGAGATCGCATTTGCAGGTGGCTGTTAAGAATGTATTCTTTCCCTGACATCTGTGCTCTCACAAAGACACTGCCTGAAATCAACATTCCCCACAAAGCTTATGAGCCTTGCTTTAGGCACCATCTCAAAACTGTCATAAAATAAAATAGTATTGCTACAAGCAATTGAACAATGACTAGTTTTGTTTCTTTCTTTTCTTTTCTTTTTAGAAAGTTGTTTTTCAGCTGTTCCATCTGGAAGATTTTTTGAGACGGGAACTGCTTGTTTTTTAGCATTTAATGAGAAAACACGAAGGCTGGCACACAGACTTCTGTCAACTAGATGTTAAACTCAAGATAACAGACGATCCAAAGTCATTCCTATGTTGGAGTAGGTAGTTTTCCAGTACAAACACTGCAGATGTTCTCTTTAGCTGTATATTAGTGTCTGCCTGTATAGTTTCAACAGATAGAGAACGGTCTCCCGCCCATCTCTATCCTTCTGACCAGAAGACCTTCCTAAATTTCTGCTGAGGCCTCATCTAGAAATAATATGACCGTTCCCACAGAGACTCTTTAGCTCCAGACAGACATTGCATTACGAAGGCATGCAATGTGTACAAAATACCACCTTAGTTCTTTCTGAGGGCATTTTTTTGTTTGCCAACATACTTTCCCATCTCTTGTCTTCACTGTTTTCTCATGGATTGGTAGGTATTGATTCTTTCAATTAGTCTCATTTTACAGGTACAAACATTCAACTTAATCATCTTGCATAAAGGAAAATAATAAGCAGATGTGAAATCACACATACAATCAGAAGCAGCAAAATTTTCTCTTCATTCCTTTCAGATTAGGACTAGACCAAGAAGTTTGAGTGAAGCTGAAGACACCAGCCAGAGGGGAAACTGCATATTTCCCCAGAGGGGAATCATTTCAAACCACACTTCATTTAGGCTATTTCTTGTGGCTTATAAAAGCATTTTCAACAGAGGCATTATTTCTATGGGGACTGATAGTAAACACTTGATTATCCATGCTGACAGAGAAGACAAATACCACCGGACATTTAGAAGCAATTTGAACTAGAGATGCGGCATTTCTTTAACAAATGACTGAACTAATTTATGATGATTTGCTTAGGCTAATAAGTAATTTGCTTACTAGCTAAGGATCTCCTGGTGACCAACTACCCATAAAAGGCCAAAGGCACAGAAACTGGCAGAGAGAGAGCAGTCCACTTTTGACAATGCACTGCTGACAATCTATACATTAATAAATGTTAATCAACTCATCATAAATTTGGACTCCAAGGGCTAAGTTAATATCCTTAGCAATGCTCTATCTAAAATGAAAAAGATGCATGTTTGTCTTTTATAATTCAATAGATTTAAGGTTCAATTGAATATCACATCTTAAAACATATCTATAATTACATAGGGACAGAGGATAGAATATTCCTGACGTGATCTTTTCTTATGGTGTAGCAAACTAAAATGGTTTTCCTGAAAGTAGTACAAATGCCACTTATCCCATTTTTTGGAAGATTATTTCACACACACACACACACACACACACACACACACACACACACAAAGCTTCGCTGCCACTATCCTGTCAGTGAATTCGATTCTTGTTCAAATTTGGGTATTTCCCATACTGCCACCTCTTAGTTATCCATGGAAATATGTTTTGAATCGCAGCTGGTCTTCAATACACTCTGGAGAAATTTCTTCCAGCCAGGTGGTATGAGCTCTGAGAATTACGCACTAGTTTAATATTCACCTTAACAAGAAGGCAAATTTTATAGACAGGAAACTGCAATATGCATTTCATGAAAACAAGATGTTTTTACCTCTTTCCCATTTGGGGATAATCCATGCAAATCTTCTGCTCTCGTGGTGCAAATAATTTCAATATTATTATATAAAGAGGGTCAAATCAGACAACAGGATAAGGGATATTTACGCTCAATAAACCCTTTCCTTCTGAAAATGATTACAAATATGCAATGATGTGATATGAAGTCGCATGTGAAATAGAAAAGAAAAAATATAAAATGGGTCTAAGAATCTATATCACAACCCTTTTCCCCAAAGCTTCGGAATCGTTGAGGAAGAGAGGTGAAAAGAGAGTAAAGACAAGAAAACCATGTCTTCCAGACCCAGCAGGACAGGTTCACATATGAACTCACAGTGGTTATGACAACATACACAGGACCTGTGCAAGCCTAACCCAGATCAAATGCCAGCATGAAGAGAGGAGGTGTACACAAAGTTCCACTCCTAGGCGAGGAGCTATTGACAATTGACAGCTACCAGGAGAAGAAGAGCCAGCTTTCTTTAGAAGAATAGCCCCTGGTAAATGAATCATGCTTCCGTGGAAGGCCACACATCCAAGAATATTTAGGCAGCACAAATTGAGTTGACAGATTTAGCAAAACAAAGAGTACACAAAATTTTGTAGATAGGGAGAGAGGAGTGGATCTGGGAGGAACTGGAGGACAATGGCAAATATGATCAAAACATACAAAATTGTTAAAGAACTAATTTTTAAATCACAAATTCTTTCCATAAAATATTTTTATTGCTCAGCTGAAGTATTTCTTGAAAGAAAAGGATTTTTGTGGCAACCCATATACAAATTCACATATACCAGCTACACATGACTATTCCTCATGATAAATCAAATTGCTTACTTATTTGCAGTGATGGACTTTTTTAAAAGGAAATACAGTTTTGACTAGAAATGATACTGATTTTTCCTTATATAGGATGAGAGAATTATCCTGACACAAAATAACAGTGTGACCAGGGAATGATATAGTATTATATGAAGTAACATAATCAAAGAACGTTATATACTAGTCTTATGAAACACATTACTATGTACAGTGAATATATAGCAATTAAAAAAAACAAAATTAATTAATTTCTCAGTGGTATCACACTTTCCTGGTATGCATGAGACCCTGGGTTTCAGCCCTAATCCTATTTTTTAAAAAACTAAAATCCCTAAAAGTTAAAGACAAAACCTAAAATATGAAATTAACCAATAAATAACAATGTATTTGAATCTACTCTAATTCGTTTTCACAATTTAAATGCTTATAATTTGTACTTTGCTTTTTACTGATAAATTTGTAAGACATTTTAAATTTTTGTCAAAACTTTATAATGTCTTGAATGCACAGATTAATGAAGCTATTAATAGAAGTTAATATTAACATCTATGTTTCCCAAAGATCATAGTGAAATACTTCAACTATCTGGATGGACTATTATAAAGTCAGAAACCAACTAAAGCAAAAGTTTAAAAACTACAATTTTGGACTCACTCAGTAGTTTGTAAATGGGCTATTCTTTGCTACTTTCTACTGTACTATGTAAAAAGAATTCACTCAGTTCTTGGACTGACACAGTGGCTCTCAAATATTTTCAGTCACAAGACACTTTCGTTCTGAACAAATCTTATTCAAATCTCCAGTTCATAAGGAAAGCTAAAGAGAACTTCACAATTAAAGTCAGATAAGTATCCAGAATTACACCCACTCACCTCTCCCTCTCCTGCAACCCCCTTGCTAGGGAGTCCTACGATAGAAGAGAACTGTGATTCAGAAAAACATGCCTTTAAAACACTGCAAAAGCAGGTAGGAATTTGTTGTGCATACATGTATGAAATTCTCAAAGAATATTTGTATTAAATAAAAACTGCAATTTTACCTCTTCTCTATCCCTCCTACCCAGAGGCCTCCAACATGGCTCTTGTGAGAGTCTTGCTGACGCATGCAGAGCAGCACCAATTGTCTGGGTACTTGCAAATGCCTCTATCTCGGGACTCTTATGCTTGGTAAATTAGCCCTGGACTATACACAATCATGTTGAGAAGCTTTCAGTAGTTCATATTTTTGGATGTTGACTATATGCTAGACTCTGCAGCTAAGAGCTTCTTTACTTGCATTATCTTACACTCCTTGAAATGACTCCTCTCATTTTACAAATTGCTTCCATCAAAGGTAATTATAGAAAGAAGCACATGGAGCCTGGATGCACTGGACATGGCCCAGGCCCTCACACTGCAGTTTAATTCCTTGTTATATCTCCTAAGGCTATTAGTGACTAGTAGAAAAGAGAAATTCCAGTTTGCCTGTTTCTATCCACAACAGCACCAATGTAGACATCAGTATTATTCAATATATGCTTTCTAAAAGTTTGTATAGGTTCTGTAAGTAAGTTAGGCATCATCCATCAAAGTTCTTCATTCTTCAAAGTGATCCCACTCCACACAGGTCTGGAACCAAAATTTTCTAAAGGCTTCTAAATGAACCACCAACAACTGTGGAATTAAGCATTCATGATTTAAATATGATTAATATTTTGGTAATTTACTATGTAACTTCTATTTTATAAACAAACCTGAATTTCAAGCACTTTTCTGATACCCAAAGAAGCAAAAATAAATAAAAGAACTGTACCTCAGCACTCCAAGAACCTGTTTCTGTCTGCGACACTCGATATGTATAGATGTAACCTTGATACCTGTGAAAGAATGCATTTCCATTACTAATAGTTTCCAGAAGAACAATGGATGCTCTAAACTTGAATTTACTTTTATCTATAAAACTTACATATACTGGATGTAAACGGACAGCTTCTTGGCAGTCACAGAAAGCAAAGCCATTGGATTTAATTTGCTTGCATTTTATTTCAGCCTAATCACAGTCCCCCACGATTTTTGTGTGGTTTAATACACCTAAGGATTTGTGTGATAAAGAGACTGGACAAAAAGAAACTACAGACCTGCTGGCTCTGACAAAAAATCATAATTATGAAACACCTTTAACAGAGTCTTACTGTTTTGTAAGTGTACATAGTCTTAAGCTAAAAATGGTTGACTGAAATAAGATTCAATTAAATTAACTGATAGTATTAATTACCAAAGTAATGTGAGTATATCATGCTATGAAATATAATTATTCTTATAATATTATTATTATAATAAATAGTAATATTCTATTACTTTATAACATTGTAATTTAGTAGTAATAGTAATTGAATTTTAAAAAGGAGTACTGAACCATGGAATGTTATGCATTCTTTGAAATAATTAAATTCTGCTATTTTCAGCAATATGAATAAAACTGGAGGGTAGGAGGGTAACTAATTCAAGCACAGAAAAACAAAAAGTATATAACTTCCTTTCAATGAAGAAGGCAAAATATGGACCTCAAAGAAGTACAGAATAAAATGGTGGTTATCATAAAGCTAGAGAGATGGGTGAAACGTTAAAACGCTTACTGTAGAATATTAGTGAAAGATGTGTTACATTTGTTTATGCTGTGGAACATTTGTTTAATGATGCAAAGATATGTTGCATTCTTTAATGTTGCATTTGTTTAACTCTGTGAAGCAGTGTTACTTTGTCTAAAACATCTGATTGGTCTAATAAACAGCTAAATGACCAATAGCTAGTCTTGAAAAAGAATAGACGGGGCTGGCGGGCAGGGAGAATAAATAGGAGAAATCTGGGAAGAAAAGATTGGTAAGTGAAAGGAGAAGAAGACGACACCAGGAACCAACCACCAAGCTACACAACAAGCTGCATAGTAAGAAGTAAAGAAAGTTATATATAATAGAGAAAGATAAAAGCCCAGAAGCAAAAGATAAATGGGATAATTTAAGTTAAAATAAAGCTGGCTAGAAACAAGCCAAGCTAAGGTCAGACATTCATAAGAAAGAATAAGCCAATAATGACACTGGGTTTTTGAGATAATGACACTGGATTTTGATCCTACTGCATGTCCTGGCTTTATGAGAGCCTAGACTGTTTGGATGCTCACCTTCCTAGACCTGGATGGAGGGGGGAGGACCTTGGACTTCCCACAGGGCAGGACACCCTGACTTCTCTTAGGACTGGAGAGGGAAGGGGGTGGGGGAAGGGGGAGGGAGATGGGAGGATGGGAGGAGGTGGAAATTTTAAATAAATAAATAGAATAAGCCTCTATGTGATTTATTTGGTAATTGGATGGCAGGGTCCCTAAATAGTAAAGAGCTAAAAAACAAAAAAGAAAAAGAAAAAACGTTTTGTCACCCAATGTGGGACTCTCAACGATCCCTAGGGCCTGAGAACACTGACAAAAAAAACAATAGATATGGCTCCTTTAATAAACTCTGCCTTACAGAAAAGCATTTAAACAGCATTTTTTACCCTAAATAGAAACAAAAAATAATTAAAAAAAAATGCCTGCCATAGTGCAGGGAACTGGCATTTCATAGCTAGGGGGTTGAAAGCAGTTCCTGGACAAACACACCTCCAACTGGGCCATGAGCTTCAGGCTTGTCTCTCATGAACCTAGAAGTGGATAGAGCCAGCCAATAGAGTCTCTCAGAAGACCCAGCTATAGCTTAATAGTTTAAATTTTGCTCACAAAAAGACTAGAGATACACAGTAAAAGAGATACAGATGGGAAAAAACTCTAAACACATTCCAATGTGTTGAACAATGGCATAGGCTTAAGAAAAGAAAATGGGTATAGACAACCATAGAAATAAAGAGTTTAAAATATAATAAAGTTCTTAAAGAGAGAGTAAAAGTAATATAAAAGAAAAGCCACATAAGATGAGAAATACATAGAGAGTCTGAATCCAATATGGTATTGTGTTGATTTTGAATTTTTTGATTGCTGATAAGCAAAAGAGAGCTGTTAAGATACCTGGCAATGAAAGAGGGACTGTAGAAATAAACCAGTCTATATACTTTAGAAATGCCTACACTTTAAAATGGAAGTCAAACAATGTATTTGTAAAATGGAACTTAAAAGTTTCATTGCTTTGGAGAAGAGGTTTTGCTTTTGTTCCCACAGGAGAGGAGAAGCTGTGAATTCCTTCAGGATTAATACGAATCAGGTTTGATCAGGGGCAACCTCCTGAACCTTGACAGGTGATATCTATCAACAAAGGTAACAGCTGGTCTTCCGACTTGGCCATTATCTCAAATTTCTCAGGTACCCCTAAAGATGCCTTTGCTACAGACAACAGGAATCAGTCAAGAGTAAACAATGTCCACATTCCCAAGATTTTGGGGAGTGCTGTTTTGTTAATGGATGTTTTCTATCATTTAGGGGAATACAGGAATATAGGACAAAAATACAAGTATGAGTCTCAGATATTTTACATTGGCATGGATTTTGGTATATTGATACAAATTTAAAGTTATTTTTGTTACTATATATGTTTCTACTCTTGTTTGGGGTATTGTGTTTATGCAGCTCATTTCAAAATGCAATATATAATTAGGAAATGAGATTAGTAGTTAGTCTATAATATTTAAACTTGTATTCACATTAGGTATGTTTTCAAGGTTAAATAGATATATTTAGGTAGATAAATGATCTTCACTTAATTTAAATACCCATAGAATATGATATTTAAAATGTTTTGTTAACTTAGAGCTTCTCATGACAATTAGATACATCTGCTCCTGGTAGTACCAATTTACTTCAGAGAATATGATGGGCATTGAAGAAACTCCACATAAGTTGTTTTCAATATGGCAAGGCTAGCCATTTGGGCAAAAAAAACTGCTTTTCCTTGACTTTATACAGTATGCTGTATAAACTGGACATGCAAAAGCCTCTGAAAAGTGACTGCTGAACTTGTCAAAACAAGATGATAGCATTCTTCAGGGTTCCTGCTTCATGAAAGACTCTGCCAGACGTTCTGCAGGACACAGAAGAAAATGACTGACAAACTGCCAATAGGCAATAGGCAAAATGGTCTTTCATATTTCCTGATTTATGTGAAAGTGTGCCAGATACTATAGGCTTGTAGTTGAAGATGGATTCCCTAATGTTGCAGAGGAACTTTGGGTGACTGTAAAGGCGGATGTCTCTGTTGTTAAGTAATATTAATTCCTTCTGGTGTCTTTGATGGATTTAAAGGACAAAGTAATTAGAATTTCAGCTTTTTCGTTATGATAGAATGTAAGTTAGGTATAAAACATTGCACCTCACTAAGATAGAAAATGTGGTGTTTTCTCTGAATTTGCTAAATACAAATGGATTAAATATTATAAATGTAATTCTTATTTGATAACTGTTTGTTGCGTATAGTTCTACTATGTTAAAGTTAAAACCTTTCATTTTTATTTAGACAAAAAGGGGAACTTGTTAATCTCACAGAGGACTCAGTACCTACACAGAAGTTCACAACCATCTGTAACTCCATTTCCAGGGTATCAGATGCCCTTTTGTTCTCACCATGAATTCCAAGCAAGCACATGGTGTACATGCATACATGCAGGCAAAATACCCACACATAAAATAAGATGAATAAGCTAATAAAAAATCAAAAGAATGGTGGTTAGCAGATTCTGGGTAGTATAGAGGATTAGAATAGTTAATTGAAATGGGATGCTGATGGACAGAGGGAGTCAACTGTAATGTTCTACATGACAACGTGATAACTATGGCTAACAACAACTATAATTGTCTATTTCAAAATTGCTACTGAGGAGGATTCAGAGAATTACCAGCACAAAGGAGTGATAAATGTCTGAGGCAATTAAAATGGCAATTACTCTAATTTGATCATTAAACATTGTATACATTGCAGAAATATCACATTGTATGTCATCACTATGGACAATTATATGTAAATTAAAATTATAAAATTAATGAGAGAAAAAATAGCTAATACTTCAAAGCAGTTTGTCCTTTCAAATATGGTAAATATTGTTCCCATTACTTGAATCATAGGTATTGTATGCCTGTTTAGATGAATTCTACTCTATAGCAAGGCTTTTAAATGTGAGATTTTTCTGTTCAGTTGCCATAAACAATACCATAGACTGAATATCTTAAATGAGAAAGAGGGTATTTCTCATATTTCTGGACGCTAACTCCAAGGGCAAAGTATAAGCAGGGAAGGTTTCATTCTTAGGTCTTAACTCACGAACACCAGAAAATGTTCCCTCCTGCCTTGCTGTTAAGCCACCAATCATATTAGATTTGGCTTTGTTTATTTTTATTTACTTATTTATTTGAGACAAGCTGTATGAAACTCTGGGCTAGGTTGGAACCTGTGACTATCCTGCCTCAGATGCTGAGGTTCAGGATTACAGGTATGCATTACCACACATGAATGCAGACCTCTTTTTTTACAATATAATTTAACCTTACTTATGCTCTAGAGATCTTATATGCAACTATCGTTACATTGGGGATAAGGTTTCAATTTGTTTGGGGGGGCATACAGTTCAAACAACAGCATTATATACTGGTCTCTAACATTTTTGCATTATAGGTAAGCTAAAATTTTTCTGCATTTTTAAATTATTCTTCATTCAAATCATTTCTCTCTTTTTGTGTTTTACCATAAGCAATGTTGAATAACCAAGCCATTTCTTCACACTTTACCTTAGAAATCTACACCACTGGTTTAGAAGCAGATATACAGCTTTGTGGCAGATTTCTTGCCTAGCAAGGGTCAAGTCATCAACATTACAGCAGAAAAAAGAAAAGAAAAAAAAAGGAATATAA